CCCAAGCACAAGGACAGGCTGGGTATAAACTAACACTTTTTTTTTTAACCAAAATTCACCTTGAAATATTTATTATAAGAAAAAATAAAGTGTTATCTTTCAGAAACAAAACTGATACATACAGTGGGTTTTAGGCCTAAAACCAAACAGGAATATGTTGAATTTCATTAACTTAAAGAGGTCTATTTAGTCTTGTGGCTAAACTTGGAAAAGCTTGTGTTCAGAAGCCTTTCTTAAGGGGAAGTGCTTTGCGAACAGGAGCTCAATGGCTGATTTTAATTTGCTGTGATGAAGAGTTCTGTTCTGTCTTCTACCACAAAGTGATGACTGCAGCGTGAAAACCTCGTTTCCAAGAGACTGAAACTGGGCACAGAGGGTTAGGAGATGGTCATTTATCCATGATTCTAGGCCTAATAGGCTGGCAAGAGGTGCTGGTTTTTATCTCTGGCCTTCCTTTCCACTCCAGGTGTAATACTTGTCTGGGCAGTTCTGCTCTCCTGACTTTGCATTGATTCTGACAGATTGTTCTACAGTTGTTGGTACTTCCCAAACTCACCTTTCCTCTTCCACTGTTAATTCGGACATCGTTTTTCTGCACTTGGATTATATGTCCTAGCTATACTTTTGTTCTCATTTGTGGCTTTGGTTTTGTATAGACACCTTCATGTAGTGCACCGTCTTGTTTTGAGATACGGGTTTAATAGTAACCTTTAACTTTTTTTCCTGCAATGCTTGCATTTGCAATAAATCAAATACCATTGAATTGTGAATTAAGGGGGTAGGTCCAAAACTAGGTCTCTGTCTTGCTTCTTTGTCTTCTGTTTTTGCCAGTGAGTCTGCATTTTATAGGCACATCAGCTACTTAAGATGTATTTTTGGTCTGCAAGTTCGTAGAACTCGTGTGAAGTACAGAAGGTGAATGTTGGATACCTTGAAGGCATTTTGCAGTTACCTTCTCAACTGACCTCTGAAAGTCCGTTTCTCAAAGCCCAGCTTCAATTATCCACAATTTCATTGCAGATGTTGGACAGATGCTTGCTTGGGTTGGCCTTCCCTGCTCTTAGTTTAACAATCATTGCTAAGTCTTTAATGTTCTTCATCTTTTGTAACCTCTTTTTAAATGTGTGTGGGGTTTTTTTTTTTTTAACCTGAAACAAAATTCTGAGTGTACTCAGCTTCTGTTAAGCTCTTACAAAAGAAATACTTCATGTAAGTTTCTGAAAATTATGAAATGCTAGTTTTTAGTGTACATGATTGTTTCTGGAAGTTCATGGCTTTTTTTCTTCAGATTTTTTCCAAATATGGATCTATCTTGAGGATTATCACCTTCACTAGGAACAATCAATTCCAAGCTTTGCTTGAATATGCTGATCCAATGAATGCGTGTTATGCCAAAATGGTAAGTGTAGGTAATTCACCTTGATTTTTCTTTTTTTGGTTGTTCCTTCCCACCACTCCCAGGTAAATGGGGAACATTAGAGGTAGCATGATCATTAACTTTACGACTTCCCATCATTCTAATGCTCTTCTTGTGCATGAGTAACTTTGACATCCCTCTTTAGTGAAGAGGATAGCACTCTATCATCAACTGCAAACATAAATGTATAGCATACAGCCAAAGACCTACATTAGCCTACCAAAGCAAAAATCAGATGTCAGGAGTGATGGTAACTGTAGCTGACCAGAAAGTCATCTTTCAGGGAGGTTCAATGCTTACTGTAGTTAACACTGGTCTGATCTCTGGGAGTTTCTCTCTTTTATTGTTTGAATTTCATTGAGAAAATTACAGGAATCAGTGTGTTCATCTTAAACTTCAAACATGCTTTACCTTGATTTTTAAAATGCATTTTCTCAGTAATGGAGAAAATCTCTTTAGGTGTACTTTTCTGTGGTGGGTTAACCTTGTCTGGCTTCCAGACACCCACCAAGCTGCTCTCACTCCCCTTCGTCAGCAGAACAGGGAGAGAAAAAAAGATGGAAAAGCTCATGGGTCAAGATAGGACAGGGACGTGGCTCACCAATTGCCATCGCAGGCATAACTGACTCGATTTAGGGAAGATTGATTTAATCTATAACCAATGAAAAATAGATTAGGATAGTAAGGCACAGAAACAAAAGTAAAAACACTTTCCCCACACCCTTATTCCTCCTTGGCAGGCTCAACTTCACTCCTTAAGCCTTCTACCCGCTCCCCTCTGAGCAGCACAGGGCAATGGGGAATGGAGGTAGTCCTCAGTCCATAACACTTGGTTGTCTTGGCCGCTCCTTCCTTCTCACACTTTCCCCTGCTCCAGCATGGGTTGTCCCCACAGGACAGAGTCTTCACAAACCACTCCAGCACGGGGCCTTCTATCAGGCTGCAGTGTGGAGATGTGCTCTGCTGCGGGGGCACAGCCTGCCTTACTGTGATCTTCAGGGGAATCTCTGCTCTGGTGCCTGGACCACCTCCTCTTCCTCCTCCTCTGAACTTGGTGTCTGCAGGGTTTTCTCTCACGTTTTTCTCACTCTCTAGCTCTCTCTCAGCTGTTGCACAGTGGTTTTTACCCTTTCTTAAACATGTCACAGAGAGGCCACCAGTGTTCTGACTGGCTCCACTTAGGGTACAGACCCATCTGTTTTGGAGCCAGCTGGAATGCTGTCCAGCACAGGGCAGCCCCTGGTCTCTCCCCACAGAGGAGTAGCAGGCCCCGATGGCCCTGCCACCCCCTTCCCGTGTAAACCTTTTATATTTATTTATTTATTTATTTCCAGAACAACTTCTAGAATTAATTTCCTTATAATAGCTAAATATTTTAGTCTCTAAAAAATTCATTTACTCAGTGACGGGTAGTTTCATAATTAAATACTGAGAACTGAGACCTCAAAAGATTTTTGCAGAAGGGACAGCAGTGTTATAAATCATCACATTATAATATTTGAACTGTGAAGTAAAAAAATCAAGACATAATAAAATACTTCACTTACAAAGTGATTCAGGCTTAATTTCAAGTATTTCTCTCTAACCCATGTGGCCATCTCAGTAGTAGTAAATAAAAAGTTAATTTGAAGTCAGTTATGAATTTGAGGTTTGAAAGACTAGCATGAATGAACTTTTAGCTACTTTTGCTATTGAAGTTGACTTTATTCTCAGCTTCAAAATTAATGGCACAGAATTTTTATCTATTGCTACTTTAGTCTTATTGAACTTTAGTCCAGTAATTAAATTCACTATGTGTTTTAGAGATGAAATATGTATTGGAAATTAGTGAAGTTAGAGCCTTTTTGTTAGCAATAGCATATTTTCTTAAAGAACAATTAATAATGTATAATTTACGAAGTATTTCACAGAAATTATAATTTCAGTCTAGATTATATTAAATAATTGTAACAAACCAGTACCTCTTGGGTGTTTTTTTCCCCATTCATCCATCATGATTCTTTTATGACTGGTATAGGCAGAAAATACTACTTCAATAATCTTTCTGGACATAGATGCTCTCAAAAAGGTGGATTTTATACAGTTATTTAGGTAAGAAAAGACCCTTAAGTCCAACTGTTACCCTAGCACTGCTAATTCCACTGCTAAATCATAGAATCACAGAATGGTTTGGGTTAGAAAGTACCTTAAAGATCATCTAGTTCCAACCCCCCTGCCATGGGCAGGGACACCTTCCACTAGACCAGGTTGCTCCAAGCCTCATCCAGCCTGGCCTTGAACACTTCCAGGGATGGGGCATCCACAGCTTCTCTGGGCAACCTGTTCCAGTGCCTCACCACCCTCTCTGGGAAGAACTTCCTGATATCCAATCTAAACCTCCCCACTTTCAATTTAAACCCGTTACCCCTTGTCCTGTCACGTCCCTAAGCACCACATCCACACCTCTTTTAAATACCTCTGGAGATGGTGACTCAACCACATGTCTAGGAAGCCCATTCCAGCGCTTCATAACCCTTAAGGGAAGAAATTTTTCCTAATATTCAATCTAAACCTCCCCTGATGCAGCTTGAGGCCGTTTACCCTTGTCCTATCACTTGTAAATTTTCAGAGCAGAGACCAACCCCCACCTCTCTGCACCCTCCTTTCAAGGAGTTGTAGGGAGCGATAAGGCCTCCCGTGAGCCTCCTCCAGGCTGAACACCCCCAGCTCCCTCAGCCACTCCTCACAGGACTTGTGCTCCAGACCCTTCCCCAGCTTATGTAAAGGACAGTTACGTACACAAGTCTCCAAATCGGTATTGCTGCTAGCTTCTGATACCGTGTGTGGACTGGAAGATGAGTAAGATCAGAATCACAGCTAGAAAGACAAGTCCTGCTTGAAGCTGTTTTGTCCGTTGGCACAAGGCTGCATAGTAACTTCCTAATTAGTGGACTACACTACTACTCTACGCAGCATGTTGAGGTAAGGATAGTGGCAGTATAATTGTAACCTTGGTGTTTAAAAGCAGCACCTGAAAAACAGAAGGTTAATATACCTTTCAGTAGAATTGTGGGCTGAAAATAAACTTGCAGTGGGTGGCTGCCACTGTGTGTTGTTTCTGAAAACGTAATTATGTTTTCTGTAGGCTCTGGATGGCCAAAGTATCGCCTCTATTTGCTGCATTCTGCATGTTGATTTCTCCAGTGTAGGTAACCTTAAGGTAAAGTACAACAATGACAGAAGCAGAGATTTCACTCGCTCTGACCTTCCTCATGGTCATTGTCAAGTCCTGGAGCGATCCGTAACCCCTGCCACTGGTAAGAAACCTTTTCTTTTAGTGATAAATACACAATAACATTGTTATGCTTTTAATGTGGCTTTTATGCTATGGCTTCATATCAGGTTCATAGAATGGCACTTTTTGTGTATGTTTCTGTCCGTTAGGTTCAGTAGAGTTTGTATGGAAAGCAAAAAGTCATACTGGAGATAAATGAATATCTGAAACTATGGGCAAATCCAGTGTTACCAGGAAGATACATTTGTAAAATGCTGTTAAATTATATCATTGGCACAGATAGTATAATAAATGTTGCATATCAGAATGATCAATGCCAGTCATTCTAAATTGACGCTGGTTGCCTAAAGTTGCTTGAAAATAAGTGTTTTAAGGATGTTGGCTCTTATTTGTTGGTATTTTAGGGTAACTGTCAACTGTAACAAAATCTGTCAACTGTAACAAAATCATAGGAAAATTAGAAATACTACACTAATGTATGTTCTGTAGTCAACTTCTAGAAGATAAAGTTTTAGAAATACTCTTGAATTTCAGAATTAACTCCTATGGCATAGTTAACAGAGTGTCTGCTTTAAACCACACTGGAGAAGCCTTTTTGGAATAAATAGCTCAGGCATGCTCATTTAATCAACTTTGGTAGTAGTGTAGATCACCAAACAGGTCAATCTGATGGCCTGACAGAAGGGCTTACAATGCAGTCTTTGTGATTTTTAGCTATTTTACCTTCTCTCAAATGACAGTAGTTAGCAATAACACACAGCTAGGAACTGTCTCAGCTGTTGAATAGGCATCTAAGGGCTGTCCAGTTGGTTAGAATAGTAGCAAGGGCTGGGGAAGAATTCCCTTTTTTATTCTAGCTTTCTGTGACAGCTGGAGCAGATACTGGACTGGTTTGTTTTTTATTTCTCTTTGGATTAGAGCAGAGCTTAGAGTAAGAAAGGAAGTTGTACTCATTACTTTCTTGATTGTTTCTGCTGGTCTCCTTAAAGGCAGACTTTGCATCTTTATGTGATGTAAAACCATCTCTCTAAAAGTTTTGAGGATTTCCTGTACTACATCATGGAAACATGCGTTTATAGATCTGATATGTTCTGATTAATTAGACATGCACGATTTGTAATGCCAGAAAAGGAGAAAGTACAGTTATAGTAGATCAAGGACAAGCTTGCTTGTAGGGCAGAGATAACATTACATGCATACTTTTGGAGGATGACACATGAACATTTCTCCATTTTCTTCCCTATCATTCTTCCAAGTTTGTCATTGCTAGCAATCTCATTTTCAGTCTGAACATTTTCTGTAATAGTAAGAAAAGCAGAGGTGCTGGTGTAAAGAAGAGTCTCATGTCTGTATCAGAATTTGTTTGTAGTACAGTCAATAGGTTATTTTTCTTTAAAAAAAAAAAGAAAAACCACAGCTGTAGGCTGCAAGAAGCATGCTTCTAGCATTTCTCAGTGGTAACAAGATGCGTATGTTGCCATGTTCTGGTATTCCTCAGTCGCATGACAGGAGGAAAAGATGTTGGGAGTCATGTCAGCACTTAGACTTCCTATGTTATTACTAGTGGACGTTATTTTGATGAAGATTTATAAGATAACGCAGGTAACTATTAGAATAATACATCCATTTTTTTCTGTAGACTTGAAGTTATCTTAATAGCAAAACTGAACTGCTTTTCAATTTTTGGGTTTTTTTTGGTCAAAAAAATACTGCACTATAAAAAAGCAGATTTTTGTGAAGGTTTTGCCTTTAGAGTTCCCTCACCCAGTGAGCATAAGCAGAGGTACATGAATTGGCTTGCTCTGAAAAGTAGCTGCTAGTCATGAAGCAAATGATTTTACACATTAAAAAAATGCAACAAAGCTAATGAAGAAAGATCTGGAATTCTTTGTTGGACAATTTTTAGAAGGCTGATTTTGGTATCAGTGTGCAACATGCAGGTCTTACTTGGCAGAATAAAAGCGCTTTAATTCTTCATCAGTGTTTTCATTGCCATTCTTGGATTGTGAATAAGTGATTAATACCTATATTGGCAGAACTTGTCAGTCTAATGCACCAGTGAGTATATATCAAGACCACAGTGACTTGCTTTGGTGTGATAAACGTATTCAGTTGTTCGTATGTCAGACACTTTGTTTCTAGAGATAAGAGGAGGTTTGGTGTGATGCAGTATTCGTGAATATTTGATGTGGGGTGTCTGTTGCATTTGTTGTTTTTGTAATTCATAACGGATACTTCTTACGGTATTGTGTCACCCCTTTCAATAACCATCTGTTAGTGAATGTAGCTATTCTAGTCAATACTGGAGGTTTCAGTAGTAAAACAGACATATTGCCAGGCTTGCAGGATGAATTTCTCATTATACATGCCCCATTTAAAAGATGTAGTGCATTAACATATGAAAGAATGCACAACTCAAGCTTCTATCTAACTGCCTCTTAGAACACAAGTTTGTGTGCTGCCCTGAGTTGTGCTTAACTTCACGTACCAATGTGAAAATCACTGAGCTGTCTTCAAGGCTGTGCCTCTCCATGTGTTGATACTCCAAATCTGTTTAATGCTTGTGATTGCCAGGAGAACCATAAAAAAACACTGGTTACTCCATAAAGAGTAATTCAAGCTGGGAAAAGTACATGTCCTTAAAAAGCATAATATGTATACCTTATTCAACTCAGTAGGTGTAACATTTAGAATTTGAGGTTCATTGTAGTTTGTTTGTATTATTTAGCCCATGTTTTTAGAAATACCTAGGAAAAAGTTGTATCTTCTCATTGCAAAGTATCTTTGAGTGTATTTATTTCCAGAAAATTTCTGGAATGCATTTCCACTGTGTGACTAAAAACTGTTGAACATTGCACCGCAGGTGTCTTAACTTTAATGGATACTAACCTATGCTGTGCTCTCCTCTTCAAACTCAGATATCTAAGTTACATTTTGCCCTGACTTTGTTTTAGAGAGGGACGTTGAGGGTCATCGGAATATTTACCTTCATAAATGGCTGAAAACTGTCTTTGTAAAACATAGAATCTTGGATTTCAATGAAAGATTTTAACCCAAACATTTCATAAAAAAGATGTAATCATGTACTGAAGTCAGAATAGCAACTCTGGAAGTTGATTCTCATTGCTGAAATCTCTTCAGTTTTCTAAAATTTTTAGAATCTGTTTTAATTAGATGTGTTGTGCTCTCTAGGCACCCAAAATAACATCTTCCCACCATACCAAGGGCATGCTGGGTTTTTTCCAGCCATGAGCTTTTCTCAAGATTCTGGTAAGTTTTGTAATTTCCTGAGTTTTTTTCGTTTTCTAAAAAGTTGTGTTTGCATTTGGAGCTAGTGGTCTATATAAATACACTTGTGTTCAGAGCAAAATGTTTTCAAAAACAGCAGTCAGAACACAATGTTCATTTGAGTAATCTGATTCTCTTTCTCATATTATTCAGTAAAATTACTTTAATTAAAATATATGCTGATGTAGTTCATCATTTAATAAGGAAAAAAATTAAATGCCATGATAAATATTACTTACAAGAGAAGAAACTAAGCATCTGTTTTTCTAAGAATCGTAACTTCAGTGACGTTCAAAGCTAAAGCAGGAGATCTCCCCTTTTCTGGCTCCAAAGTGAAAAACAAATGTTCTAGACTCGGTGATCTCTTCCTTTCTAGCATATGATAAACTTTTGTGGTTTGTATTTTTTTTTTTCTTGGTCTGCAATTTATGCCCACTTTTGTTTGGGTCTGTTGGTGAAGCTGAATATTTCGTCCTTTCTAGAGGGGAAGTTCTTCCTGTTTTATTGGTCAGATACTAGGAATAACTACATTCCTTAAAAGCATTTTTTTAATTGAATATTGTTGGTTTTGCCAAATGTAATCTGCTTTTGTCTTCTAAAATGTCTTTTCCACTTGGAGATGTCAAGAAATGCTGTTAATTTCAGGTTTTGTGTTTCAAACTGTCCCTGTTATGGCGGTGAAAGTACCTGATACTGCACCAGCAGTGTCTGCACAGAGGCCTCCTCCTAGTGTTGCTGACATTCCAGAAAATTCTGTTTTACTGGTCAAGAACCTCAACCCTGAAGTAAGTTTGAATGGTGGAACTGAAGCAAGTATGAACTTGTACCAGTTGTCAGAATCCTTCTTGCAAAATCGACATTAGCTGAAGGAATAAGAGAGGAAATATCTATGCTGATAGTATAAAAAGCAAACAAGCTCTATTCTTATTTGAGATAGTTTGCAATATTGATGAGGTTTAAAAATTCCAGTCAGCAGTGAAAAGCTTCCTAACACAATTTACTTCAGGAAACCTATGTTAGCAGAGTAACTAAGAATTAAAGTCTATGGTCAGATGTGATAAATGTTTGAACAGCTAACCAACTTATATTTTGACTAAACTATACTGGTATCTCTGTTAATACGACACTTCTGTGTACTACTTCATCATTGGAGAATCCAAAGAATTTTACATTTGTTACAGAACATGAGGAGTTAAAGAAACGGAAGGGATAAGGAGATAAAAGCATGACAAATCAAGTACCTTTCAAAAGACTGCTAGGATCTTTCTAGTTTTGGAACTTTTCGCAGGTTGCGGAGGAAGATCACAGGTGCACTTTGGTTATTGATGTCACTGTAAATCTATTTTTAAAAGTTAATAAATACACACGTTCACTTTTCATAGTATCACAGTTTTTTCATACGTTGGCAGTAAAATTGCCAAGGAGAACTTGAATAGCCAAGTGTAAATGACATACTGTTCTATAAGCTTACTCCTATTACTCAAACATTCCACATTGATCTGTACTCAATTAAAAGCAATGCACATATCTTAAAAATCAAGGTTTATCAAGGCCATGACTTAAAACACAACTCGACTGTTGATAAGCAGTCCTGTTAAAATAATGTAAAAATCTTACTTGTTTTATACACTTAGTATTCACTTAACCATAAAACTGATAAAATTAGGAATTATTGGTAGAAGGGAAGTTACCTTCATATTACTGAGGCTTAAAAATCTGTTCACCAGTTTCTCTAATCTTTAATTGCTGTGTTCAAAAATTCATTTGAATGAACTGAAAATGCAAAATGAAAATTTGAAAATTGCATTTTTGAATTAATTGAATTTCACAGTAAGCATAAAAAAAATCAGCTGCAGATTAGACTATAAGACAAGTCTATTTTTCTTTGATTTGTTAACATATCAGTTAAATCCTGGTGATTGCTGTGGATTTGCTTTCTGCAGCTGATTATTCAAGGTGATTCTCTGAGTCATAAAAAAGAGCGTGTTTTTTAAGAATAAGCACATGTGAAGCATAGGTCAAAGGTATTTTTAGGACATCCCCTCTTTAGTTAATATTAATCATATCTAAGAAGTTGTCATGTAGAACTTTGTGCTGCAATGCATGATACAACTTAAGTGCATTAAATAACTTCTTAAAAGGTAAAAAATAAGAATGTACAACAACATTAATTGCTGGAAATATAAATTGTTGTAAATACTTATTGGCAACTAACACTTGTTCTTCAGTAGTGGTTGTCTGAACTCTTTCACTTCTTCTTCTGTGTAGAGAAAATCTGGCTGACCTTACTTCAATTTATATTTCTCCTCTGTTGCAGGATTTCAGTGTACATTTGAATATTCCCTCAACTTTTAAATTAGCTAGGTTTTTTTCTCCCAAAAACATTTTTAGTAGAAATATTGCAGTCTCATTTGGTTAAGAAATTTCTTTAAATAAATTCTGTACTGAATTAAAATATTTGTTCCAGAAGGATAAACTCTAGAAGCTTTTAAATTTTACATTGATAGCAATTGTTCCTTATTGCTAAATGCTGATGATAAAAGTGTGTGTGCTTATACTTAGGCTGCAGTATTTTCTGTTTTTAAATAATTCTGCTATGTTTGGTACATATGTCAAATGTTTTGAGTCAAGAAGGAATATGGCTGGAGAGAGCAAGTAGTGCTTCTGATACTCATATTTTAGTAATCATTGCTGGCAAAACCTTTGCCTCAGCTGAATAGATTATGGATGCATTAAGGTGTAAATTATCTTTGGTGCCTGGGGAGCTTGATACACAAGGATTTAATTAAAAGTCACAGAAGAAAAATAATATATTTCAATATTTAGCTTTCTCTTCACAGCTTTTAATTAACCACAATTTAAATACCATTCTTCATATGCTTCATATCTGAACATTTAAATGGTATGTGTATCACATCAGCATGCCATGGTCACATGTAGAAATGGGGACAAAACTGGGGAAAAAAGAAAGCAATTTTGAAGCAACTGTTATTAGTTTTGTAGGTGTGGTCTGCAGTTTAGAAAATACAAGGAGTTCTTGAATGCTCTTTACTATGTCTAGTAGATGTCTTTCGTTTTTCAGGGAATGAACTACTGGCTTGGAAAGAATAAGTTCAAATAATTAAGCCACTTAAAGTATTCATAACTTGTTTGGCATGACATCATTGATTTATGAGAATGTACGAGCTGAAATGTTAGTTTGTTTAAATATTTTATAAGTGCATAGCAAATAGATATTGACAAGAATCACAGAATGGTTTGGTTGGAAGGGACCTTAAAGATCATCTAGTTCCACCCCCCCTGCCATGGGCAGGGACACCTTCCACTTTGAGGTTGCTCAAAGCCTCATCCAGCCTGGCCTTGAACACTTCCAGGGATGGGGCATCCACAGCTTCTCTGGGCAACCTGTTCCAGTGCTTCACCACCCTCTCCAGGAAGAACTTCTTCCTGATATCCAATCTAAACCTCCCCACTTTCAATTTAAACCCGTCACCCCTTGTCCTGTCACTACAGGCCCTTGTAAAAAGTCCTCCCCCAGCTTCCTTGTAGCCCCTTCAGGTACTGGAAGGTGCAATAAGGTCTCCCCGGAGCCTTCTCTTCGCCAGGCTGAACAAGCCCAACTCTCTCAGCCTGTCCCCATGGCAGAGGGGCTCCAGCCCTCTGAGCATCTTCGTGGCCTCCTCTGGACTCGCTCCAACTGGTCTATATCCTTCTGATGTTGGGGGTTCCACAGCTGGACGCAGCACTCCAGGTGGGGTCTCACCAGAGCAGAGTAGAGGGGCAGAATCCCCTCCCTCGACCTGCTGGCCACACTTCTCTGGATACAGCCCAGGATACGGTTGGCTTTCAAATGCTCTGAACCGTAGTTGTTGCAGGGAATAGCTTTTGGAGAGACGAGCTTAAGTATTAGTGTGCAGTACCTCTTCCATTCTTCTTGTTTACCATGCACTTACTGAATATATTTCTTTATTTGTGTGGCTTTAGAATAATGCACTCATTCTATCATTTAAACAGGTCATCACACCAGATCGACTTTTCACCTTATTTGGTAAGATTGTCAAATATACCTTGAGAAACTACAGGGCTGACATTCTTTATTTATTTGACACATAGTGGTTAATGCAAGCTCCATTGTCCTGTCTCACCTACAAAACGCACGAGAGAATGTGCTGCCTTTAAAATGGCAATAATTTGAGTCAGTAGGTGTAGGTCACAGGTACTCAAAAGGCACAATGGCTGCAGTGTCAGAAGAATTTCTCTGTGTGATCAATCTGTTTACTACAAAGAATGGGAAAGCAAAGTAAGATGAAAAAACAAAGATGGCAGCAGAGGAAATGGAGAACAGAATTGGCACGTACCGGGACAGTTAGCTTAGTAATATTTTAGTATGCCTCAGTTAAGAGGACTTGTAACACTGTTGCAGTATTTAAAAGCTGAATGTAAACATACAGTTTTATGATTTTAGACCCTGGGTTTTTTACCCGATTTCTGAGCCTCAGAAAATAATCAAACTTTAAAGCTCTTCTTCATACTAATATTCTAACCAACCTGTTTGAGGTGATTATTCTAACACTAATTAGTTAAAACACAGACCTGCGCTTGTGCTTTTTGTAGTAATTCACTACAAAGGACAAATTTCCTCTCTGGATTTCCACAGGTGTGTATGGTGATGTGATTCGTGTGAAGATCATGTTTAAGAACAAAGAAAAGGCTTTGGTTCAGATGGCAGATGCAACCCAGGCTCAATTAGGTACTGATTTTTAAGGCACAGTTACGCTTCAAATGAGCATGAGTGTCAAATAGATGAGGAATTTGCTGTCTGTCAGAAGCATGAACAAGTCAAATCCCCCACTGTGATGCTTTACTACTTACAGGCTTTTCCATGTATATGTTGATACTGATCTCTTTGTTTTCATGTAAACAAATTATTTTCCTATAGTGGTTTATAAAAAAGTAATCCTATGAATCTCAATCTAGTAAATGTTAGAATTAAAACTTCATGCTATTTTCCTGTAATTTATCTTAATAATACATCATATGACTTTACTGTAGTTTATTCTATTTCCAGCTATTGAAGAATTATTAACTGCTCTTTTTGGAAATGCTGGTTTGCATTTTTGTTGCATTTAGACTGGAGGCTATATTACACCCTTATACTTGTTTTAAATATAATGGTATGATGTACTCCACCTGGTAGACATGGAAGTTGCAGTTAAAGTTTAGAATGTGAAGTAAGACACTAAATAGAAGACAATATTATTATTGAAAGAATCTTTCTTCTTTTTCTTCTCCTCCCTTCGTTCCTGTTCAAATTATATTTCCACTTGTTAGCTATCGGCCACTTGAATGGGCAGATGCTTTA